TGGCTCGTGAGGGCGATCGGGCGGTAGCTGCCAACATCCCGCGGTAGCTGCCAACACTGACATCGCTTGCACTGTCGAGCTGTTGTGTTTTGCTTTGGAGCAGAGTACTCAGTACTTACTGGGACTTTGTACCGGAATGGTCGCATTTTACCAGTTTTACCTGCCTGTCGTGTGTTTCTGAATCGTAACATTGGAAGACATTGTTATGCTGTGATACGTTGGAGAAATCAAGCATTTATTCTGCGTAGTTATTGGTTTCTGGTCGGGTTTTACTGGAAATAAAGAAAACATTCGGGCCTGACTCGTGCATTTGATACCGAAGGCCTTTAAAAGGTCATTTGAGGGGACCTGGTGACCTGACCTGGGGAGACTTGAGGCTACAGTTTTTAGAAATCATGCTAAATGGATGTCAATTGATGTGTAGAACGTCGTTTCACTTGCCATTTTTCATTACGGACACGACTGTGTAGAAAGGAACGCATATATACTCTCAGGCGCATTGGACTGTATATGGGTTATATATGGGCGAAACAAAAATGGCTGGCGCCGCACGAATTTTGATTTTTCGAAACTTTTACCGCCAGGGCCTTTCATTTCTAGTCCATGCGCAAGTTTTTAGCACATTTTCCGTTTGTTTCGTTTCAAGTGACACACCCTAGTCACCATGTTAAGCATTTTGTTCTGAAGTATTCAACTTATTTTTGTCAATAGTATTGTTAGCTATTTTTTTGTCCTGAAACGCCAACCTATAGTCCTATAAAGTAGGTATATTGTTTGTGTCGGTGGTGGGTGAATAATGACCATTGCATTTGGCAATCAACACTCTTTAAAGCTCCAAAAACAAATAAGGACAATTATAGTAGGTACCAGTAACAACATAAGACATGACAAGAAAACAAACATTTAACTCAATGACTTTTCAAAAATCCTTTTTAGCTTTCTATTTTACCAATTCCACTGATGTCCTTACATAAAACATATTTATGTTATGCTGAAGTTTGAATCATAAACATTTGTTTGGTGGTGGGGTCGGTGTAGTCGGATCAGAATTTGAGGTACCAGAACCATTGAAGCATGTTTATGCATCTATAATAGTTACACATTAAACAAATGGAGCAACTTAAAAGCAATGTAAACTACTCTGCTGCATATGCTCTGACCCAGACTGCTGTAGCTGATTAAAAAGTAAAGAGTGCAACATTTTTGTCAGATGACTAATGCTGCTACATTCTGTGGACTATTATAAGGCAGCATTTCAAAGTTGGCATTGGTATGACAAGCTGGAGTGATATATTATCATCAAACATTTGGAATAAATTAATCATATGCTTACGTGAGCATATCACACCACTTGTCCATTTAATTATGCATAGAAAGCTCAGAGCATGCATTCACATTGCACTGATCAGTGATAGATACCTTGTGATTTGCTACCAGACAATTTCTGTCATCATATCAGCATCACTTGTTCATCTTGATGTAAATATTTAATCTGCCAAAAATGATAGCAATTAGTTGCTCATTTTTCGTCCAATGAGCGAAGCCAGGTGCATCTCGTTTGGTTCTTCTTTCCGCGAAGAGGACATCCGGAGCTGAGCCGCGGTTCTTCTGCCGCGCAGGTGGACGAATCTCCAGCATGTCGGTCCCAGTGCGAGCGGCGGTGGCCGCGCGACTCGCAGACGCCCTCTCCGGACTGGGTCCTCCGGCTCCGGGCGCTGCCGAGGTGCTCCGGCAGCTGACTGTGACTCCTGGACCGCGCGCCAGCCTGACTCTGGCCACCGCGGCACTGCCGGCTGGCGCGGCACAACACCTGCGCGCGGCGCTCCCCTCCTCCACCGGGCTGGTACGCGGGGTCGAGGAGGGCCGACGCGGCCAGCTGCTGCTCGAACTGGAACCAGTGCAGTTCCGACGAGATGTCCTGGATGGCATAGCTCGACAGCCGGACGCGTTCTGGCGCGGGGCGCTCACGGAAGTGGCCGCCGGCGAGCCAGCGCTAGTCGAGTTCAGCTCACCTAACATCGCTAAGCCCTTTCACGTCGGTCACCTGCGCTCCACTGTGGTCGGAAACTTTGTGTGTAACGTGCTGGCGGCAGTGGGACCGGCTCCTGTGCGGCTGAACTATCTGGGCGACTGGGGCGCTCAGTTTGGTCTGCTCTCCGCCGGCTGTGAGACCGCTGGCCTGGACGCGGAAACGCTCGGCGATGATGGTATTTCGCGTTTGCTCGAGGTTTATATTGACACGTGTCGACGAGCAGAGACGGAGCCGGCAGTACGCGAGGCGTCGCGCAGAGCGTTCCACCGGCTGGAGATGGGAGATGCTACCGAACGCCGCCGCTGGGCCGCCTGCCGCCGACTCAGTCTCGACAATCTCCGAGCCGCCTACCAGCGCCTCGCTGTCACATTCGACGCGTTCGACGGCGAATCCATGTACCCGGCGTCCAAGTGTGAGTCAGTCATGACTCGGTTACACGAGAGCGGCGCGCTGGCGCAGCGCGGCGGAGCCACAGTGGCGGTGCTGGAGGGCGGTGGCGAGGCGACTCTGGCGCGTGCTGATGGATCCACCGTGTATCTAACGCGTGATCTGGCGGCTGCCGAGGACAGATACCGCCGGTTCGGCCGCCGTCGATTGCTCTACGTGGTCGACGCCGGCCAGGCGGTGCATTTTGCCAATCTGCGCGCACTGCTGTCACAGCTCGGTCACGATTGGGCGGGTGGCGTGCAGCACGTGCCCTTCGGTCTAATTCGCGGCATGAGCACACGCCGTGGAGAAGCCGTCTTCATGCACGACCTGCTGGATGAAGCCCGTGAGCGAATGCTGGAGCGACAGCGCGCCTCCCCCAACACGGCCCACCTGGAGGACCCTGAGGGCACCGCCGACGTTGTAGGCACATCTGCTGTGATCATTCACGACCTGCGACAGCGCCGGCAGCGCAGCTACGATTTCAGCTGGGAGGCGGCTCTGCGGCCGAGCGGGGACGGCGGGGTGCGGCTCCAGTATCTCCACGCGCGCCTCTGTAGCCTGGAGCGGCGCTGCGGCGTGGAACTGAACCCAGAGGCGGACGCGGCTCTGCTGGTTGAGCCAGAGGCTGCCGCGCTGGTCTCCGAGCTGGCACGATACGAGGAAGCGCTAGTGGCCAGCCACGATCAGCTGGAGCCGTGTAAAATCGTCACCTACCTATTCGGACTGGCTAATACACTGGGCCGTGCGCTGACGCGTCTGCCCGTGAAGGGTGCCCCGAGGGCCGAGGCGGAGGCACGGCTGCTAGCATTTCACGCCGGTCGTCTCACACTGGCGCAAGGGATGAAAGTGTTGGGACTCAGGCCGCTGGAAAGGATGTGATGTAATTCATATCACTATTCACTGTCGCGTGAGATGAGAGCTGCCCAAGTTAGGATAGTGTGTGAATTTTGAACGAGAAATGGCATGTCTGGAGAGGTGTCAGAGACGTGAAGTGGTGCGTGCTGCAGTTCTACCTGCGCCGATTACGCGATTGGGTGCAAGAGCGCCACGCCATTCTTCAGGAGAGTTGTTTTCTGTGAGCAGTGAGATATTCTTAGCTGGTTTTGTAAGGTGTGAACGGAATGGATTTTTGATGGTCATATTGAAATGTATAGTGAATAAATAAAATAGCAAAACAACAAGCAGTGCTGTCCGTTACCGTTTATGATGAAAAGTCCAGAAGCGACTTGAATGCTTGCAACGCCCGAATGCTTTGTGGTGATATTTCGAGCATTTTAAACAGGAGGTACTTATACCTAATCCTAGCACATTGCATAGTTGATGGATTTAACCACGGCTATTCCCTCATTTTGTAGGCCACCGTTTTTCTTCTCTGTGAACTCGAGCCTGGCGGCTGGCTGATCGTTTTAGTCCCGACCCGGACATCGCGTGTAGGTACTCAGATTTGGACGACAGATAAAGCCCTGACCGCTTCCGTCTGAAGGACCAAATGCGTCTCAGCCTCGGCTGACCGGATCCAAACTTTCCTGCTAGTTCCAGGACAACTAATGCATGGCTGTCAAGGAAAACTGCCAACCATCAGCTGACGGCACCTTCCAATGACTTTCAATGGCGCTATTGGAGAATCCGGCGTCCCTGTGCTTGACATTCGAACGATTTCCATCGTCGATAGTGATCTGCTGATCATAGCCATGATCGATAATGACCCATAGTACTGGACTACTGTCTAGATTATTGTGATGTGGAGTCCAATTTAAAAAGCTTCGGTCATTGTTCGCACCGCTCTTTTGTGTTCAGTTGGCTACATTTCAATAATAACCATTTGGAAAGATCCAATGCACTCAATGAACCCAGAGTTTTTTAGGTGTCTTGCAAGCTGTTAAATATTTAGTCGTTCATTGGTCACGACCGGTCAACAATCGCACTTATCTTGCGGTTGAATGTCTTCATTGTCGGATTTCGTAGATTCTGAGTCGATAGAAAGATGATCGATGGTGCTCGGCATTAGGTATGCGAAATCCGTCTCAAACATCACTCCAACTGGACATAGATTGAGAAGATACTCCGTACCTGAAAGTTTTATTTGATCATATGGTTCTTCCGACATCATATCTTGGGCATTACTGACAAGTCGAGGCTAAGCTACGGTGCCTGTGTTGTTGGCATAAATCCGTCTAGTGTTTCGTCTCCAAGATGTTTGTGTGTGTTGTGAGTTCCTTCATTCCCTCCTGATTCGGTTGCTGTCGTTGGTCTTAATCGCCTCTTTTCTCTGGAAAGTATACGATTGTCACATTGATGCAATCGTTGTAACCTTATTTGAATAGAAAAATGGCTGAATATCTCAGTTTTGATTAGCATATCGGCATATGTTATCAGTGCACTGCACCTGTGTGACCTGGTTTCTTGTCGATCCTCTGTGCGGTGGCTGTGGTGTTCGGGTTGATGTCTCGTTCCTTTCCGTCTCGCGCGGTGTGGCCGGTCGGCCGGGCAGCAGGCACGTCCCACAGCGCGGTGCCACCTGTTGCAGAAATCGGTGCTGATGGGGCTGTACACCCTGATCACGGACCACCCGGTGCTGGCGGCCACGGCCGGCTTCTTCGTCTGCCTGGAGGGCCACTACCTCTGGCGGCTGCTGGGCAGAGCCGTCACCGACCAGTTCTTTCTGAGACGTGTGGCGCCGCTGGACACCATCCGAAACTACAGCATCTGCACCACGACAGACCTGGACGCCTTCTTCCACATGAACAACGCCCGCTACGCCCGAGAGATGGACTTTGGCCGCTGGGGCTACCACGTCCGCACCGGCCTCTACAGCCACTGGCGAAACACGGACGTCCGTGTGCTGCAGGCCTCCATGCTGATCCGCTACCGCAAGGAGGTGTCGCTGCTGATGCCGTTCGTGGTGGAGACGCGGCTCGTCTACTGGGACGACGCGAGCCTCTACTTTGAGCAGAAGCTGGTGACGCTGCACGACCGGCGCGCACGCTGCGTCAGCCTCTCTCAGCAGCGCGTGGTGGGCTCGCTGACGCCGCAGCAGCTGATGACGATGGCGTTTGGCGCCGATACGCCGCCGCCGCCGCTATCCGACAGTGTGCGGGCCTTCATTGACGCCAACAGCGCGTACCAGCGAGACCTGGCCATCATTGAGAAACGGGAGCTGCAGTGACACTGTGGCTCTTAGTGGGTGTAACGCAGTGGCTCGGAGTCACTGCTGCTGGAGTGGGCTGTGAGGGCCGAGTGAGAGGCGGCTTAGGACAGATGTTTGAATTGTGCGACGGTGCGGCAGTGGAGTGTTTCATTGTATTATTGTGATTTGCTTGTAGCTGTGTGCCAGATCTAGGTTTATGTTGTAAAGCTTCTGATCTTTGCCTCTCGATGTTTATTCGAGATGTCGCGTGATAGATCAGACTTTACGTTAACCTAGGTACGCGTGTCACTGATGTGGCCCGAAAAGATAGAATCATGCTCCCAGCAGTGTAGACTGATTTTAAACGGGTTATTTAATCAGCAATGACGGATGTAATGTTGCTAGTATTTTGGACTACGATACCGATCTCCATGTTAGCTCACCCCTTCCATGTGTTGAACAACACACATGCAATAAGATGTGTGCCGCTTTTAGATCAAGCATGTTTTCTCTTGTACTATTTCCTTGCATGTTGCTCTGTTTTAGCTGCTTTTGCTCATCCCTTTCGTGCAATATGTGTCCGTCGTGTAGCTAAGCTTGTTTCTGTTTGTCGGTTTTTGTTTTGCTTTGCGTTTTCTATTTATTACGCATCTTTTGATCATAATATCCACGCACTTGGCGATATGTATTATTGCTTGACAAGAATTATTTGTTTGTCGACCCAGTGTGCGACGTTGTTTGCTATTATTTATTCAATTCTAACAACGGTTGAGAACTAACTTATGACAAGACTTCATCCAGCTTATTTCCTTGCTTCGTACCATTTGACCCCGCGATTTATCCATGCTAAACGTGATGTGGGTGTTTGGTGTCAAACTGCCTAATCTAGTCGCAAGTTCACAACAGCGGACAAAGGGCATTACCCCCTCTGCCGTAGGTCAGCAGTGGGATTGGGGCAGAACATTCTCCATCAATTAATGTTGGCATCGCTTGTCGCTCTATGTGATGTCAGGCTGCTATTATGTGTCGTCCTGTCGAGCATATACGTGACTGCCAACTATCGGTCGGCGAACTACGGAAGAGTGGGCTGGCATCGACTGCTTTCCTGTACGATTCGGCATTGAGGACCAAATGGCAGGCGCCTACATCTGATTTCATCACTGGCTCCACTGCAACAGTGCGCTCTACTGAGGGGCGGCGCACTTCCGCCTAGTTAGTTGCCGGTCTAGACCAGAACCGTGACAGGTCTGCCATCCTTCCTTGTTTCTGAGGCCCGACTGGCGAATAAGGGAGGATGGTGCAGCATTGTCAGTGTAGCTGCGGTGGACTGTGAAATGACAGACGGAATTTTCCTGCATCATGTATTCGCCCCGTTAGCAGACCAATACAGTCATTAGAGAGAACTGATGTCTTTTAGCCAAAACTTTAACAGTCTCGAATAAATAATGCGAAAACACATCCCAGAAACTTATGCAACATCTTCAACATAACTTACGTAATGTTACAATTCCAGTTTCATTTTTGTCACGATAAACTATATAGGTAGCTGTCGAATTCACCTGTAAGATGTTTGCCGGTAGGCAGCGTTTATTTTAGACCCACCAGTTGCTTGATTGCTGTCACTATAAGCCGTGTGCGAACAGGACCCGATCGCCGAATGACGCTTTCTTAGCGTATTTTTAGTAATAATTCGCCCTATCTGATCTGCACAAGTTGTACCTGGCACACCGACCCGCCCGCACGTCGCCCGTCCGTCCGTGCTCCAGCCACCTACAGCCCGGTCCCTGTTCCAGAAGACACGTATCCGCCATGGGTCTGTTGGACATCATCTGGGAGCACCCGGCGCTGGCTGCCGGCGCCGGCTTCTTCATCTGCTTCGACGGCTTCTACGTGCTGCGTCTGGGCGTGACGCTGGTGGCGAACCGGCTCCTCCTGCGGCGCGTCTCGCCGCTCACCACAGTGCGAGACTACGGCTACTGTGCGCCCACAGACATCGACGTGCTCTTCCACATGAACAACGCCCGATACGTGCGCGAAATGGATTTTGGACGCTGGGGATACTACATGCGTATCGGGGCGCCGATGTTTAGTGATATGAAAGTCCTTCAAGCGGCTATGCTAGTCCGCTTCCGTAAAGAGATCTCCATGTTCACGCCATTCGTGGTGGAGACGCGTCTGGTGCACTGGGACGAGCAGAGTCTGTTCTTCGAGCAGAAGCTGATTACACTGCACGACCGGCGCGCGCGATTCGTCAGCTACTCTCAGCAGCGCGTGATGGGCTCCATGGGTCCTCTGCAGCTGCTGGCGGCGGCATTCGGTACGGAGACGGCCCCGCCGCCTCCGCCTGCCCCTGAGAGTCTCAGAGCGTTCATCGAAGCCAACAGCGCCTACAAGCGCGACCTGGCGGTCGTGGAGAAGCGGGCGTGACGTGGGAGCGGTGGTGATGGGTAGGGCGACTTTTACAGCCAGCAGCGGGTCAGGGTGAGAGGATGGTCGGATAACTGGAGCATCTGTAACTTCGTGACCGACTCGGTGTCATCAGCCCGTTATCTACCAGATGGTCGTTAGATAGTTGTTGTAGCAATGTGACATACCTCCAGTTTGTCCTATTTTGTTGAGATATGGTGCGTATTACAACAGTATGCACGTTTCCGCTCAGCACGGGGGTTGTATACGGGTAGATGATCAAATAAAGAAGAATCATGAACAAATCCCGAAGTAACAAATCTCTCAGCTGGGAGTGGGCTCGTAGAACACCGCCATCGCCTACATCTGGCCTCACTGACAGTCACTGGACAGCGATAGCTTCTCATTGAAGTCCGTTGGCTAATCACCAGACATTGCATGACTGAGTGCAATGGGAAACATTGCAGATACGGTATGAACGTTGCGTCTCAAGGTCTCAATGGGCGCTTTCTAACCAAGTTTCCTCTAATAGATAGAGTGATGGTGTTTCACAGGGAGGTGTGACGGTCCATTCCGTAGAAACTTTAAACTCTTGTATCTTTTTCTGGGAACTCTTCCGTTTGAGTCCGCCGTCTCGGTTCGATGCCCTTGACTGGAAGAAGACACAAGGAGGAAAATGGAACTGGCCCTGACATATAGCATGACTCGTGAAAGTCGGGTTACAGATGTCCGTAAATATTTCTGATCCATTTTTGTGGAGCGGTATCACATGAACAAGCGCGAGGCGGCAACGGCGCAGCCTCCAGGAAATGGATGCCAGTGCCCTTAATGCCTACTGGCACTGGCATTGCGGACTAAAATAACCGAAGCTGTTAGCTGCTACTAGCTTTCACTCTCGCACACTGACGTTTTAATCACTGCGTAGGCAGTCCCGGTCAATGCGGTCATGCCGGTATGGAGGCGTTCACGTTATCTATTCTAATCGACTGAATAGTGATTCTAATTGATTGAATAGTGATGCAATACTGGCATTGTCATACACACCAGCTGCGTATTGGCAGGTTTCCGCTCTGCATCCCGTCAAACGAGTGACCGTATGAGTGACTGGGCGTGGTGGGAAATCGTGATTGAGAGCTATGTTTGCGAAATTGAACTCGAAATCGATGGGTGTGTGACTGTGCTACAGCACCGCCTAAAAATACTTGAATGCATTGCTAGATTATCCATGGTTTCCTAATATAAGGAACCATCGTACATCGGCGCTAGTCCTGCCTGGACCGAGTAAATCCGCTCGAGCCTCAATGGCATTCCATGAGCCGGTGTAGCCGGTAGCCTCCACTGGCATATGCTCACTCGTAGGTCGGCTCAACGAGCGGTTCTGCTGCTCGCCGATATCCCCGTAGCGGGCGTGTCGTCTGCAGACGCGCCCGCCGACCGGTGTCGGTTGCGGAACGGGCCTGCAGACGGGTTACGCCGGTTCCGACGCAATCGTCGGACGCGCTCCGTTGTTGATGGGCGGGGAGGCACGGCGGCACGCGGAAACTGGCGGGCCCGGCGCGCCCAGACGACGGAACTTTGGAGGGATGGGGGGCGGCAGAGTCACGCAGCGGAGAGGAGGGGCCTCACGACATATCGCGACACATCACACCACACATGGTGCCGAGGACATCGCTGTACCCCGCTCAAGGACACTGCATTAGGCATGAGTAGGCTGGAATCAGTATTCAGCGTCCATTCAGATACTGATGGGTTACTGTTCCAGGCACCTGGCACATGGGTCCGTGGTCTGAACGATGTTCAGCCGTGCCACCTTTGCATAATGGATGTTGCCGAACTGTATGTAGGGGTGGAGGGGGTGGGACATAAGTGCAGAGTCCTTGCGTGATATGCACTGGGGCACTGGGCTGGCGGCGGACGTCTATAACGGTCGTTTGCAAGGATAAGAATGAGCGCGATTTTCCTGCTTCGTAGGTCGGAAAGAAACATGTCATCCTTCAGAAATGCAGCCGTTTCAAGATGATTTATGTCCTCTAGAACCTGTGATCGATAGCCCCTCTTCATTTTATTGCTGGTATGGTTGAATTTCACATGCGAAAAAATCGACTGAAGTGTGTCACATTCTCTGCAGAGCGTTTCAGACTCGCCAAACCTGCCGGCAAAATGTTGACTGAAGACGCCAGGCAAGATGTGGAGACCTTCTTCAAGCTCCACGAGGAGAGAGTCCGGATCTACAAGAAGCTCGAGAGGTAAGGTGACTAGAGAGCGGCCGTATCAGATAACCATGCATGACTTTTATCGAGATGGTTGGCTATTATCAGTATTTGATCATGCATTTAGGAATGTTATGCTCATGTCAAATGATGGTATAAATGGATTTTTTCACTGAACTTTTTGCCCTAATATTAGCATGGCCACCGATGGCCTACGATTGTGCGTGTTTGATCTTCCTCGTCGTGAACTTCCAGCCATATCTGACAAGCCAGCCTGTCGCTTCCCTTTAGCTAGTTGGCCGAGCAAATTTACCGGGTTCACCCGGCAGTGAGCCACCGAGGCCGCACGCACACGCCCAGTGCGTGTGTAACCAGGGCTTCCCTGTGTATTCGTCACGCACGCATTCTTTTCAGTCCTGAACAGTGAACAACCTCTTACTGGCCACCAGTTACATAACGTGGTAGTTATCCTGTAGGGTAGAGCTGTCAGCACAAGCGGCGGAACGAGATCACATCAGGTTATCGCCCCTTAAATTCGCAAGGCCGTGTAAAGATCGCATGGCAACGGTCCGTATGATTTTCTGTTTTGCTCTCAATCGTTCTGCCGTTTATGTATGGGAAGATAGAGAGCTCAGCATGGACATCGTCTGACCTCTGACCTGACCTCTGACCTGACCTCTGTCGGCAGCGGCCACCGTGACCTGCTGGCGGCCCCGGCTGACCAGGGAGAGACCTCTGACGGCACGACGCCGGCCACCACCGACCCCTTCCCGGCGTACCGCGCTGCCGTCGCCGAGGCCACAGATGGCTTTTCGTCAGTCAGCCAACGCGTCCTGGCACTCCTGGCGCGCATGCGCAACCAGCCGACGGCCCAAGAATGTACGGACGCTGTGGAGCGGATCCAAGAGCTAGAACGACGCAAACTGCAGATGGTGAGCCTAAAGTATGTGTTGAGCCGCTGAAAAGTGCATACGCAACCAGGAAGCCGATATTGTGTTTCATTACCTTTTGTTCTTGGCAATATGCAGGCTTGAGGCTTAGTTTGGCTTGGTACAGCTCCACATAACGTGCCTCGACCGTAGCCTCTCCCTCATTTCTGATCTGACTGTCCAACTCCCCTACCTCTGCAGACCTGCGAGATGCAGCTGCTGGCCTTCCAGCAGCGTCAGGAGCCGGAGGACGCTGTTCGGGAGCGGACCCTGCGTCACCTGCGACAGCAGCACGCTACGCTGATAGAGGACATCACAGACTGTTTGAGGACTCTGCGCTCGGAACTCTATGACTGACGTGGGAGCAGCGGAGAGAGACTGGCTGAAGTCGTGAGGGCAGTGGGGATGGTCTGAGCTGGCCTTTATAGCTGAGAGTTGTGAGAGCAACGGTGAACGGTCTGAGCTGGCATCTGTTACGGAGGACGTGAATTTGTGAGAGCAGTGGAGGTTATGCCTGACCAGCTGACAGCGTGGTGGCGAGAGCTGGTCTAAGGAGACATAGGCTGTGGGTCATACGGGCAACGAATAATACAAGGAATGCGTTTGAACGGTTGGAGCTACTGGGTTGTGCTCTAAATGTTTGTCACCGAATAGGCTGTTCGATGAATTGCTGTTTTTTCCCTCGAAGCCCACAGCAGCGGTTTCCTATCTGTAACTTTCAAGTCTCAGGCCTATGACTGGGTAGGCACTAGGCAGCAGAATCAGTGGGACCACCTGTCCAAACAGGACAGCTGGCTGCACTGCCAAGTGCCACCTGCCATGCGGTCCAAGAGCTGCGCTCCTGCCACCTTTCGGTGTGTTATTGAGTCTACGTAAAAGTGTGGTGCCGAGTGCCCTGCCTTGTGTTGGGTGCGTAGTTCTCGTCGATAGACGTTTCAGTTTCAGATGTAACATCGTTTTACCTGTGAAACGCGCAGATCCCGATTAAAGGTCTTGTTTTTTTCGATGTCGAGTCACCAGTCACGTGAAGGACGTGGGATCCTGTGCATTTATCTACGGCACCCCTGTGTCCCGTCGAAGAGTAAAATAAGTCGTTACTGCCTTTGGTAAATCCAGCTAGCTAAGCAACATTGAATCTTATCACGACTGGCAAATGGCACTGACCCAGTTTCGTGACACCCGAGGGCTAAACGGGCCACGATCGACTCGTGAGAAAATTTGTTGATGTGGCGTGGCAGTCATGTCAGATTTGAGTTATACTGCACCACCTTCCGTTAAATCGTCTGATCCATTTGCAGGGCATATTTTAAGGATTTTTCACTGCGTCCCAAAGGTGGCATAGGGCACATGCTTTGATCGGAAAGGGCACGTTGCAAGCGAAATAGTATATAATGCAAGTGAGATAATGTACAGATACATTGTGTACTGTGCTGGTGGAGGGGCACTGCAAGCGGGATATTGGGAGCGGGCTGTGATTGCTTTTGGCCAGTCTCGAAATTCGCCCAGTCGTAGTGCGTTCTTTATCCGCATTCAAAGGGCGGACCGGCGATTTAAAATGACATTTACATTGTTGTTAGTCACTCGTTGTCGTTTTCCTGAACGGCGTTGGGCGTGTTTGACCTCCCTTGACGCACCAAATTGTACCTATGCTTAGAGAATAAATATGAATATGCACATGATTAAAATGTGATACATACGTCTCTTCATGCGCTTTTCACCCTTATCAATTGATTCAAAATAGAGGTTGACGTGTGAAACATGGCCAATTTGCATTGAAGATACTATGTGTTTGAAATAATTAGATGACGTAAGGTCAAACAGTACCCACCTAAGTTGTGACAAAAAATCATCGGATTTTAAAGCTACATAAAAAATCCATCATAGATTAATGCTTTGGATGAACGGATGCTTTGGATGCTTCGGATTTCGCTTCCTTACTGCCTATCATGTAATATAACCCAAACTTTTCCCAATGGAAGTTCCTTTGTTTAATTATTATGCCCAGAAATGTGTCGATTTTGTGCCATTTCCGGGCGCTTTGGGGGGGGGAGCATGGCCCCGTGGCCCCCTCTATATCCTCCTATGGCCAGACGGCCATGACGGCCCTGATCTGACCGTATGCCATCAAATGTCAAACTTCGCAATGATGCGATATTTTTTTTCGGAAAACGTGCCGGTATCTCAAAAACTATGATAGCTAGGAGGGCGCAATCGATAGGAGAAAAGCAGTCGATATATCTTGAACAGCTCTTTCGTCAATATTTCGTCAGGATTGAGTTCAGACATGGATGATATAACACTGGATTGGTGTCTCGTGGAAATTAACATTGGGATCCGCGACATTGGGATCAGGCCTGCCATCTAGCGAGAGAATTATCGTAAGTTAGGAGCAAGCCGAGTGAACGCTATCTCCCAGCATTATGACACACGTGGGTGTGGTGTGTTAGTTGGCTTGAAGTGCATTTTTCTACGAGTTGGAGGTAATCTTACTGGACCTGAGACGACAAAAAATGTATTAAATGCTTGAAAGCCAAAAATGTCAAGCCGCCTTTAGGTAATAACGAAAATAAAATGCAAGCTAAGACGGTATGTATTGAAACGCCCAGTCCCATCGGCTTGTACGACCTTTTATATGGTCATTTACTCACAATGGTACAGCAGTTTGACAATATGTCATGCACATTTGGTAGGCTTATTCCTTCTTCTCCGAATTTCGCCTGA